TACACTACAAGGCTACAGTAATCAAAACAGCATGGTACTGGTACCAAAACAGAGATATAGACCAATGGAACAGAACAGAGGCCTCGGAGGCAACACAACATATCTACAACTGTCCGATCTTTGACAAACCTGAAAAAAAACAAGCAATGGGAAAAGGATTCCCTGTTTAATAAATGGTGTTGGAAAAACTGGCTAGCCATGTGCAGAAAGCAGAAACTGGACCCCTTCCTGACACCTTACACTAAAATTAACTCCAGATGGATTAAAGACTCAAAACATAAGACCTAACACCATAAAAACCCTAGAAGAAAATCTAGGCAAAACCATTCAGGACATAGGCGTAGGCAAGGACTTCATGACCAAAACACCAAAAGCATTGGCAACAAAAGCCAAAATAGACAAATGGGACCTAATCAAACTCCACAGCTTCTGCACAGCAAAAGAAACAGTCATTAGAGTGAATCGGCATCCAACAGAATGGGAAAAAATTTTTGCAATCTACCCATCTGACAAAGGGCTGATATTCAGAATTTATGAAGAACTAAAACAGATTTACAGGAAAACAACCAACAATCCCATTCAAAAGTGGGCAAAGGATATGAACAGACACTTTACAAAAGAAAACATACATGAGGCCAACAAACATGAAAAAATGCTCATCATCACTGGTCATTAGAGAAATGCAAATCAAAACTACGTTGAGATACCATCTTACGCCAGTTAGAATGGCGATCATTAAAAAATCTAGAGACAACAGATGCTGGAGAGGATGTGGAGAAATAGGAACACTTTTACACTGTTGGTGGGAATGTAAATTAGTTCAACCACTGTGGAAGACAGTGTGGCGATTCCTTAAGGACCTAGAAATAGAAATTCCATTTGACCCAGTAATCTCATTACTGGGTATATATCCAAAGAATTATAAATTGTTCTACTGTAAGGACACATGCACACGAACGTTCATTGCAGCACTGTTTACAATAACAAAGACCTGGAACCAACCCAAATGCCCATCGATGATAGACTGGACAGGGAAAATGTGGCACATATACACCATGGAATATTATGCAGCCGTCAAAAACGATGAGTTCGTGTCCTTTGTAGGGACATGGATGAACCTGGAAACCATCACTCTCAGCCAACTGACATAGGAGCAGAAAATCAGACACTGCATGTTCTCACTTATAGGCGGGTGTTGAACAATGAGAACACATGGACACAGGGAGGGGAGCAATACACACTGGGGTCAGTTGGGGGGAAATACGGGAGGGACAGCGGGGGGTGGGGAGTTGGGGAGAGAGAGCATGGAGAGAAATGCCAGATATATGTGAAGGGGAGGAAGGCAGCAAATCACACTGCTGTGTGTGTACCTGTGCAACAATCTTGCATGTTCTTCCCATGTACCCCAAAACCTGAAATGCAATTTAAAAAAAAGGAAAAGAAATCTCAACTGGCACGCACACACCTAATTGCCATTGTCCTCTTACCTCAGCTGAACTGATAGTCTCTTGGTGTCAGTTAAGTTCTGTTCCCCATACCTGCCTTTGAGGCATTTTGCAGGTACACATACCCGTCTCCCCCTTGCAGATGAAAGAACATGGCAGGGTACTGAATCTGTTTCAGAAATCGCATTAGCCTGCCCGTTGCTGTGCCTACATTTCCTTGTTCTAGCAGCCAGCCCTTAAATTGTTCAGGCAAGTTGAACTGGGTTCAAATTGGGTTTTTCAGTCAGGTATTCAAACTTCCGTTTCAAAATCAGAGCTCTTTGGCTTTCCTTTATTTTTCTTTTTTCTTTCCTTGTTTACATGAACTTTGGGAATGTATGTGCAGTTTGTTTTTTTTTTTTAAGACAGGGTCTCAGTCTGTTACCCAGGCTGAGTGTAGTGGTGCGATCACAGCTCACAGCAGCCTCAACCTCCCAGGCTCAGGTGATCCTCCCACCTCAGCCTCCTGAGTAGCTGGGACCGCAAGTGTGTGTCACCATACTTGGCTATTTTTTTTTTTTTTTAATGTTTTGTAGAGATAGGGGTCTCGCTGTTTCCCAGGCCAGCCTCAAACTCCTTGACTTAAGGGATCTTCACACCTCAGCTTCCCAAAGTGCTGAGATTGTATGCATGAGCCACCATTCCCAGCCTGTATGTGCATTTTTATAGTAGAGAATCAACTCAAAACTGTACATGTGGTAATCAACTCAAAACTGTACAACTCAAAACTGTATAGTGGAGAATCAACTCAAAACTGTACATAAACAATAATTAAATACTGAGATAAATACTCTGGCATTAGTGAAACTTAAACAGAACAGTTAGAGGATTGAATAGTTTTGTGTTATGCAGATGTACTCAGGAAGCAAAAATACCTTTTTTTTTTTTTGGGATGGAATCTCACTCTTGCCTAAGCTGGAGTGCAATAGCGCAATCTCGGCTTACCGTAATCGCTGCCTCCCAAGTTCAAATGATTCTCCTCCCTCAGCCTCCTGAGTAGCTGGGATTACAGGCGCCTACCACCATGCCTGTTTAATTTTTTGTGTTTTTAGTAGAAACAGGGTTTCACTGTGTTAGCCAGGCTGGTCTGGAACTCCTGACCTCGGGTGATCTACCTGCCTCAGTCTCCCAAAGTGCTGGGATTAAAGGCCTGAGCCACCATGTCTGGCCAGAAAAATATCTTTAAAAAGCTGGGCCTGTTGGTGTACCTAAAGGATAATACAGATGTTCCTCTCAACTTAGGGTAGGGTTGCATCTCAGTAAACCCATTTTCAAGTTCCAACTATTGTTAAGTGGAAAATGTAGTTAATACACCTACCAGACCCTGTAGTTTAGCCTTGCTTACCCTGCAGGTGCTCAGAACACTTATTAGCCTACAGTTGAGCAGTCATCTAACACAAAACCTGTTTTACAGTAAAGTGTTGAGTATCTCACGTAATTTATTCGTGTTCCGTGGAATGCAAATTACTTTTGCACCATTATTAAGTCAAACCATTGTATGTCTGTAACCATCTATACTTGTAATTTCTTTACATTGGCGGTAGGTCAAAATATGGTCTTAGAAGCAGTAAAAAATTCATTGGCATTTTTGTTCTGTACATACACTAAATTAGATGCTGTAATTTTGACAGACTGAAAAAGCTGCTTTATTTGGAACAACTGCTTTGTCCTTGACTGTCAGCCTCACTCTTGGACTTTGCTACTGTGACATCCCATGAGGTTTACAGTATAACCCTGCTGTAGGTTTTGACTTTGCACTGTGTACCACAATGAAACTGCTTATTTAGGAAGATAAAAATCTCTTGGATTGGACCAAACAGAAAGTGTCTTTTTCTATTGTGTTTCAGTTACGGATTCTGGATATCATTGAAACCTGTATTGGAGTGATTTATTACAACATTAAAATAGTATTGTGTTCTCATAGTTGGCAAGAGGAAGCTTTCTTTGAAGTCTCACATGTATTAAATGCATTTCTTCCCAGACTCAAAATTCACTTTAACTCCAAATTGTCTAAATTTTAAAACTTTTGGTAAAGAAACTTGGCCTGAAGTACAGTGATACGATGTTAGATGTTGCTTTCTTATTTCCTCATTTTGTTTTTGCTTCTGAAGCATGTCTAAAATGAGGTGACAGGTCAGAAACTATTTTGTATTTTACCTTACCCTCCATCTACCTATTTCCCTTTCTTGTTCTACTCTAGGTATTTCTTCCCTAGTGAAATTTACTTTGTTCACAATTATTTAAATGAAAAACTTCAGCTCGGGCCTTGGGAACCTTTAGGTTCATGTACAATAAAGACATGAAACCAGATTTGTGTATATACTAAAGGAATCACTTTTAAATAAGTTTTGTATGTTTTTATCTTGATTCTTTTAGATTCATCGTGATTCAAATTAGGTGGTTGGCATTTAAAAAAGAAAGTTGCATTTCTAAATGTAGGTTTGTTTAAAAATAAAGTTTCTTCGAGTTTTTTTTTTTTTTTTCCTTTGCTGTGTGGAAAATAAGGGGAAAAAGTTGATTTGAGAGACTATTTGGTGAGAATGTGGTTAACATTGTGTTAATGATACACATAAGGCTGTTAAACTTAACAATTTTCTAATAACTTCTGAAAGTTTTGTTTAATAAAAACAGCCAGTCTTTCCAATTACTTCCTGTTTGACTGTTCTCATGAAATAAATGGTTACCATACTTCACTTGCCGCATACTATCGTAAAAGTGATTGAATATACGTATTAAATCAGGCAGTAGATGCCAGGTAAATAACGACTTTGGTGAAAGAAATAGAAATGACATTGGTAAGAAACAAATTTTTAGTGTTCAAGTTTTATGTCCCTTCAAAGAACTCTTTTTGCTGCTGCCAGAACTGTTCATATAGGTCTCTCTAGCTGGTGTATAACAACTAATCATTCTCCCAAAAATTATACAGTAATAAATCTTAAACACCCAGAGCATCTGTCTGTAATTTTGTTTTTGGCACTGGAGCACCAGCCATAGTAAAATGACTCTACCAGTATATCAGCTGTTATATAGAAGTATTTTGTACTCTTTTGCCACCAATATCTTGACTCTTAGGTGTTCCATTATGTATTATGTGTAATTACATGATGTATTGTGACATTTTAATGATGGTTACAGTCATTCCTAGAGTTGAGTAGATTGGCTCCCATTGCTTGTGTTGCTGACATCTGGGCAGTAACTCAAGGAGGTGAATGAGAGAAGTTGACTCAAATAATGTTTATAATATGTTTATAACTAGTTTTTTCTTAATTTCTCTCATTTCCTTCACTCCTCTAACCCTACCAGAACCACAGTGACAGCAATGCAGATTGAGGAACTATGAATGAAATTTTGGGAGGTGGGTGGGTTTTTAAAAACAAAATGCGGGCTATTGTTATCTATTGACTGTGTTATAAAACAGCTCTTGGATGCTTCATTCACCAATATTGTCCTTTGAAAATAATCTCCATTCTTTTCCAAATTACTTAGGTTTTGTTTGGTTTTGTTTTAATCTTCTAGATTGTAGAAGGCATGAAACTAAAAAAGTGGAGTATTGAAAATGTTTCCTTCGGTTCTGGTGGCGCTTTGCTACAGAAGTTAACAAGAGATCTCTTGAATTGTTCCTTCAAGTGTAGTTACGTTGTAACCAATGGCCTTGGGGTATGTCACCTTTTACTTCTGTGTTAGTACCTTCCTCATATTATCTAGGTAGAATACGTAATTTGACAAATTGTCAAAGATTGATGTGGCCCTGGACTGTTAATATGTTGTTGGGTACTACTGACCTTAACTCAGAAACAAGGAAAGAAGGGAGATATTAGGTAATAAAAGACCTAAGGAGACAGAGATTTGGAAAAAGCAAGAACAGTAAGGAGAAAGATTATTTGAGATAATATAGGTCAGTCATTTTTCACTGCCTTCATTTTTACCTTTGAATCAAAAAGTAATATTTGAGTGGGAATGTCAGCTCACCTAGCCATCATATATTAAAGACAAGCAAGGATGTAATCACTGACCAGACTGTTTTAGGAAGGTGGAATATGTGGTTTGGATTGTTGTATCACAGTTGTTCCAGTAGCCATAGAACAGCTAGGCAACTGAACAACCACCCCCCTCACTTCTTTTTAATGTCTTGAGAGCTGGAGACTGTAGAGCAAGGGACCAGGACAAAAGAACTCCTGAGAACACCTGAGTTAATTCCCTGCTTTAGTCTTTCATCTTTCTTTGGAGAGTTCTGGGATTGACTCATTTGTTGCTGCTTCTTGCATTGCCACTTATTTCTGTTGCTTTTCTGCCTATCTTTCTGATGCAGAAAACTCTGCTCTCCTCAGGTTCTGTAAGTCTTTTGCTTCTGACAATAACAAGGTAACAGTGAAGTACCAAAAGAGGGGTACATTATGAAATAGGAAAGCCTTTACCTTACTAATACTCTTGTTGCCTCTCCCAAGATTATGTATTTTTGATGTAGTTGGTATATAGTTGGGCTTTTTTCAACAGCATGTACGTGCTATGCTTACTATCAGTTTGAAGGTAGTTTGTAATGTAAAAAGAGTTACCTTAAGGTTACATATTCGAATGCTCACAAGACTTCCTACAAATGGCATATTAGGTGTTCTTTAGTGGCAAAAAGGATATCCTAGATGTTAAACTTTTTATTACAAATCACTGTCCTTCAAAATAGGCTTAAGGTGTTAGGTTTCTAAAAGCCAGATGTGGGTTGGTTCAGTTGTACCTATTAAGTGCTTAAAACTTAAATGTAAATTATGTATATGCTTTTTTGTAAGGCAGTGTTGAGATATTTCTGATGATTAGTCTTCTGTTTATTTACCCAACTTTCTTAATTTGGATTTCAGATTAATGTCTTCAAGGACCCAGTTGCTGATCCCAACAAAAGGTCCAAAAAGGGCCGACTGTCTTTACATAGGACACCAGCAGGGAATTTTGTTACACTGGAGGAAGGAAAAGGAGACCTTGAGGAATATGGTCATGTACGTATCTGTGCTGACTGGTTTTTTAAACAATACTAGGTTGGCTCACCAAATTAATAAGAAAGGGGGCTGGGCATGGTGGCTCACGCCTGTGATCCCAGCACTTTGGGAAGCCAAGGCAGGCAGATCACAAGGTCAGGAGTTTGAGACCAGTCTGCCCAACATAGTAAAACCCCGTCTCTACTAAAAATACAAAAAATTAGCCTGGTATGGTGGTGTGCACCTGTAATCCCAGCTACTCGAGAGGCTGAGGCAAGAGAATCATGTAAACCCAGGAGACGGAGGTTGCAGTGAGCTAAGATTGCGCCATTGCACTTTAGCCTGGCCCAAAGTGCAAGACTTCGTCTTAAAAAAAAGAGAGAGAGAGAAAAGAGGTTTTTATATTTTTTTGTGGAAGATAAAGTGGTTTTATTATAAAATGTACAATTGCTGACCTGGCTTACCAAAATAAGGTACAAAACAAGTTTCTAGGTCATAAACATGGGGCCTGTGTAGACATAGGGAGAAATATTTCATAAGTATCGTGATTGATAGCAGGTTTATACATACTATCCAAAAGCAAACTATGTTATCTTAGTAGGGTGAAATGTGAAAACAAGGTGACTTGATCTGGATTACATAATAAATGGTGAAACCTTGATTTAACCAAGTTTTCTGATTTAAGTCAACCAAACTAGAAAAATCTACAGCATGCTAAAGTAGTTAATATGATCTTACGATCTTTAGCATACAAAAGTACATTCATGTTCATGAACTTGATCAAGTTGTAAAATATTTGGTTTTCAAGCCACTGGATTGAAAAGTTTCTTTTGACAGAAACTAAACATGAATACACTATTACTTCCTATTTTGATTCTTCATACTACATCACATTTACTGCTTATTACATGTTACTTTTATATTTTTTAAGGTTTTGAGCCAGAATTGAAATTACCGTTAATGAAAAATATATTTGTAAATCAAACTTTTAGAATTAGATTCCTTTATATAGACTGTTAGGCAATTCTTTGAGTAAGCGGCAATTCTTTGAGTAAGCTTTGTGTAACTTTTGTACCTACTAAGATTTTGGCAGATTCAGTTTATCCCAGATGAGCTGAAGTCACTTCAAACTAAAAGTAAAAACTTAAGTGTCATTTTTAAAAGACACTGATTTTAAGAGTATGTGAATGATACTAGAACATTTGAAATAGTGATCAATTTGTAATCATCTAGGCAATTTAAGAGTAGAAACTAGCATGCCCTTATATTTAAATTTATGAAAGAAAATGCTACAGCTAAAGCACTGTGGTTTGAAGCAGCACAGTAACAAAAGTATTAGATGATGCCATCTCCACCTCAGTCCGCAGACTACATGGAAAATTGAGATTACCTCTGTGGATTTTTCAGAGAGAAACCAGAAGCGGGTAATTCCTTAATGAGACAGGAGTGTCATTTACGAGACCCAAAGGCAGTTTAATTTCTTTCATCTGTCTTTGCTACTCTGGTATGGATGAGGAGGTAGATTACCTTTATCATTGACTTTTGGAGTATAAATGAAGTCTTTAACTCACTCACTATGCATTAGTCAAGCACTCAGTACCTGTTTGTTTCTTTTTGGGGACTGGTTTTTGGTTTTTTTTTTAAGACCCAAATTGAGTGACTAGCAAATTTATTAAACTTGCAGGTTGCTAAGTTTCATCAATGTTGAGTCTGTTGGCCAGGAACAAAGGAAGGTTTACCAGGCTGTTTTGCTGCACAGTCACAATGATTGTCAGTGACAGTCACACTTCTCCTAGGCACCCAAGCATCTTCCCTCCACTGAGGCAAAAAAAAGATAGGTCAGCCAGGTTTGGCTTTCCTTTAAGAAAACCAGTTTAAGAATGGAGTATTTATAGGTCATTTCTTTTCATAAAAGTTAAACATTTCTACATACCAAGCAACTCAGTGATATGCCATTTTAGATAGTACGTTGCTCCACTAGTGTTTTTTCTGCATCAAGTCAACTCATAATTTGAACACCATTGGCATCTCTGTGTATTTGACAGGTTTGTTAGTCTAATTCATCAAACCAGGATTCAGGTATTTTGCTTAATAATGTAATATAATCATGAAATTTCCATTTATGCAGGATCTTCTCCATACTGTCTTCAAGAATGGCAGGGTGACAAAAAGCTATTCATTTGATGAAGTAAGAAAAAATGCACAGCTGAATATTGAACTGGAAGCAGCACCTCATTAGTCTTTGTTTTATGACTGGGTGTGTGTTTTCGTGTGTGTGTGTGTGTGTGTGTGTGTGTGTGTGTGTAATACATAGTTTATTGTACAGATATATGGGTTTCTTTGTCTTATGGGTTTCTTTGTCTTCTGTGATACATTACAGCCAAATTATTTGTTGGTTTATGGACATACTGCCCTTTCATTTTTTTTTCCAGTGTTTAGGTGATCTCAAATTAGGAAATGCACTTAACCATGTAAAAGATTAGTGCTAAAGTAAGCTTTTTAGGGCCCTTTGCCAATAGGTAGTTATTCAATCTGGTATTGATCTTTTCGCAAATAACAGAAGTGAGAAACTTTTATATATTACTGATGATCCCATAAAACAGATTTGCATAAAATTATCATGATTGCTTTATGTTTATATTTAACTTGTATTTTTGTACAAACAAGATTGTGTAAGATATATTTAAAGTTTCAGTGATTTAACAGTCTTTCCAACTTTTCATGATTTTTATGAGCACAGACTTTCAAGAAAATACTTGAAAATAAATTACATTGCCTTTTGTCCATTAATCAGCAAATAAAACATGGCCTTAACAAAGTTGTTTGTGTTATTGTACGATTTAAAAATTATGTCAGGACATACATACCCAATAGAATTACTAACCTCACTGCCCCTTGTAGAATATGTATTAATTCATTCTACATTAAAGAAAATAATGGTTCTTACTGGAATGTCTAGGCACTGTACAGTTATTATATATCTTGGTCGTTGTATTGTACCAGTGAAATGCCAAATTTGAAAGGCCTGTACTGCAATTTTATATGTCAGAGATTGCCTGTGGCTCTATTATGCACCTCAAGATTTTAAGGAGATAATGTTTTTAGAGAGAATTTCTGCTTCCACTATAGAATATATGCCTAAATGTAAAATAATGACAAAAGGTGGAAGTAGTGTATTTTAAAGTAATTACACTTCTGAATTTATTTTTCATATTCTATAGTTGGTATGACTTAAATGAATTGCTGGAGTGGGTAGTGAGTATACTTATTTTAAATGTTTTGATTCTGTTATATTTTTTATTAAGTTTTTAAAAAATTAAATTGAATATTAAATTGTATGGACATCATTTATTAATTTTAAACAGAATCCGCTCAATAAATACTGAAGCACATTCTTAAATGAAGATAAATTCTCTCCAGTGAAAAGCATGACATGTGTTTCAATAGCAGAATCTTAACTAAAAGCAGAAAGCTGGCTAAATTCAAAAAGTGCTTAACATCAAAATATGCTGGAGTGATTAGCCACTAGATTCTGAATCAGACATCACATCTGACTGGAGGCCAGTTTCTTTCAAATGATTGTTTTATATATGTACATCTGTTTTTCTGAGGCAGTGGTAGGCCAGCTATGGCCCGAAGGCCAAATTTGGATTCCACTTTTTTTAAATGCATATTGTCTACGGTTGCTTTCCCACTACACCAGCCAAAGGTAAACAGCTGCAATAGAATCCAAAATGTTCATTATCTTCCCTTTACACAAAATCACACAAAAAGTTTCCTGATCTCTGTTCTAAGAAAAGGAGTGTGCCTTGCATTCAAAGGGAAATGTTGGTTTCTAGGGAAGGGAGGAAGCTAAATAATTACACGGAATTTTCCTCTTTTGTCCTTTATTTTTTCTCATTTAAGAATCTGATACTGGAAGACTGATTTAGAAAAGTTTTAACATGACATTAAATGTGAAATTTTAAAAATTGAAAAGCCATAAATGTTTTAAATAGTTACACGAGAAAATGTTTTATCACGAGAATAATATAATTAGAAGTGAGTTATCTTTATTAAATTTTTTTGTAAGTGGTATTAGAATATGTTTTCCAGATGATTGCCTAAACATTTAATGAGAGACTTACTTTTAGTAAGTCTTCTGTAATCCATGGTAGAAAATAATTTTTTTTTTTTTTTTTTTTTTTTTTTTTTTTTTTTTTTTTTTTTTTTTTTTTGAGACGGAGTTTCGCTCTTGTTACCTAGGCTGGAGTGCAATGGCGCGATCTCGGCTCACCGCAACCTCCGCCCCCTGGGTTCAGGCAATTCTCCTGCCTCAGCCTCCGGAGTAGGTGGGATTACAGGCACACGCCACCATGCCCAGCTAATTTTTTGCACGTTTAGTAGAGACGGGGTTTCACCATGTTGACCAGGATGGTCTCGATCTCTTGACCTCGTGATCCACCCGCCTCAGCCTCCCAAAGTGCTGGGATTACAGGCTTGAGCCACCCGTGCCCGGCTTTAGAAAATAATTTTAAAATGATTCTTTAATGTATTTGAGTAAAGAAGAGTAGTATTAAAAAGAACACACATTTCTTCACAAAACGTGCTAAGGGACGTGTAAAGAATCAAAAGAAGCTATTACCAATAATAGTTTTAATAATCATCCATAATTTTGTATTTAACCCGTTTAAACATTGAAATTATACTACAGACATTATTCTCTGCATTCTGTGAATTTCAGCAGCTTCAGAATTGAGTTTAATTTTGAAACTTGCAGTGAAAAAAAGCTATTCATTTGTTCACAACTATAAATCAGGAGATGGAGATTAATTCTGCTGGCTCTTAGTCACTTGGAACTGATTAATTCTGTCACTTCGCACTTGGTATTTGGCCATCTCCATTCTGAGCACCAAATGGTTAACATGAATGTCAAATAGAATTCTGCTGTATGTCACCCCTTAAATTAACCTAACCCTTCCAGACAAAAGCAAATAGTATTTATGGATTTAAGTCATTAGATTTTCAATTGACATTAATTAATCCCCCTTGATTCATTATATCATCAAGTATTTATATTTTAAATAGGAGGTAGGATTTCTGTGTTAAGACTTTGATTTGTACCCTATAATTAGAATTGGTTTTTTTTTTAGTATCCCTTATTTTCCCTTCTTAAATTGTTATCAAACAGTTTTTATAATGAAATCCATCTTGGAAAATTAGAAAAATGGCAAGGTATTTATTGTTCTGTTTGCCATAATTTAGAACTCACACTTAAGTATTTTGTAGTTTTACATTCCTTTTTAACTCACTCAGTGGAGAATGTCAGCTTTTCTCCCAAGTTGTATGTTAAGTCTATTCTAATATGTACTCAACATCAAGTTATAAACATCTAATAAACATGGAAATAAAGTTTAGCTCTATTAGTGAAGTGTTAAATTTGTGTGCTTCAAGTAATGCCAATTCCAGACCTACCTTTTTTAGGTATTCCTCCAGTTCAAAGAATTAGAAGATAAGAGAAGGGGAAGTGTCAAAGCTGACTCCTCTTTTCTGCTTTGTGCAACTATATGGACGACAGTGCCTCTTACTGAGGAAGAACACTGGAGGGACACCAGATTTGGGAGAAAAGAGCATGATTCCTATGTGAAGGCTTGAGATGCCTTTGAGACATCTAAATGTAGGTATTAAGTAGGTAGTTGATGATACAGGTTTACGGACAGAAGCGCCTCAAGGTATGACTGCTGTATACCTTGAACGATATACATCATTGGAAGCACAAGGTCATTGGAAGCACACAGTAAAGGATACTTTTATAGGAAAAGTATAGAGCAGGAGTTGACAAACGGAGGCCATGGATCAAATCCAGCCCACCATCAGTTTTTGTAAATAGTTTTATTGGAACATAGCCACGCCCATTTAGTTAAAATTGGGCTATTTTTATGCCACGGTGGCAACACTGATTAGTTGCAACAGAGAAATTATGACTGCAAAAACTAATTTACTGTGAGGCCCTTTACAGGAAGTGTGCTGATCTCTGCTACAGAGTATAAAGAGAATCTAGGGCTAAACCGTAAGTAACTCTAGAAGGTTAAGTGACAGAACGTGAGCAGACCAAGAAGAATGACAAGCATAGCTAAAGAGATGAAAGTTCCAACCAGAAGGAGTAGTCACAAGAGCCAAAGGAAACATTTTTCAGCTTAGGTGTTGAATGCTGCTGAGAGACCAAATAGGATGAAGTATTTAAAACAGCTACTGGATTTAGCCACCTGAAAGTAATTAGTACCTTAGACACGTTCCCTTCCAGCTGGTAGAAGAGGCTGATTTCTGAAAGAAGCTCCCCTGTATACCTCTTGGAATGTGGGACGTGAAAAGGGAGAAGAGAATGAGGCAATAGTACTTTCTCCTGGTTGTATCCTTATCTCTGAAAAAGGTCCAGGAAAGAGGGAGGAGTTGAAAATAAAAGCAAAGAGAGTGATGATTTGGGGTTCTAGAGAAGGTGGCGAAAGATAGGATCCAAAGCACTGGTAGGTATTGGCCTTAAGTGGTAGGGGTGCCTTCTATTCAAGAAGAAAGGAGAAGATGGGAGCCGGTGTGTGCTTTGGTTTCCTCTGAAGTCAGAGACCAGATCCCACTTGTAGGTGGTTTATTACACAGTCATGAATGTTGAAGCACCATGCTTCATGGTTAGCAGCAGAACTCGGTTAGGAACAGTTACCCTGACCTGCTTCATGTATTTTTTTTTAAATTCTGTAATTGGCTACTGAGCTGTTACTTCTTTGACATAAACTAGGGAACACATTTTGTAATTTTTATAAAGATGGATTCACGACCCTGCTTACAAACTCTAGAATTGGCTACACGTTTTAATTCTGATGCGGTCCTTCAGAATTAAAGACTAGCTGGAGGAGTTCTTCCAGGTCTCTGAGCCCCTCACTTTCTAGCCCTTCCTCTTCAGCTAACAAACGTGTTCCTTTTTCTCACACCCCTTTTAAAGAACTTCCTTGATAACACCAGCTCTAGCCTCCCTTCTCTCATTTACATCAGACTTCTCTCCATTTACTGCCTCACCTCCCATTCAGTCATCTCCCATCTGGTTCTCAGCCCTTATTCGACAAAACAGTGACCTCCTAATTGCCAAATGAATAAATTTAGTTATTGTATTATCTGAGGGCTCTCCTGCATTTGCCACTACTACTAAATCATTTCTTCTTCTATGATGTTTCTGGGTCTTCTGATCCCTGTGACTGTCCCTTCTCTTTCTTAGTCTTCACACACTTTTAAATGTTGGCACATCCCATTTATCTCCATGTTCATCTTGGCTGATGTCAGGCATTCATGTGGTCTGAGCTATGAACTATCTTACTACAGCCTCCATGCATTTATGTCTCCAGCCCAGACCGAAATCATTCTACCTGTCAGTAATACATTTCCATTCAGATGCAACAAGTCCAAGCTTATATTCCCCCAGAACTTACCGTATTTATTTTGAGTCTGATTTATTTTGATTTTGGCCAATTTGGCAGCTAAGCCAGCCCCCAACATGAAACTTCCCTCTCCGTTACCCTGCGCATTTAATCAGCCACATAATCCTATTGATTTACCTACTAAATACCATAATCTGTATCTTCTCTCCAACTCTTTTATTTCAGGCTCTCAAATTTCTTCCTGAAGTGCAGGCCGAGCATCCCAGATCCAAAATCTGAAATGCTCCAAAACATGGAATTAAGTCTGGAATGCCTACGTGACACTCAAAGGAAATGTCCTTTGAAGCCTTTTGGAGTTCAGATTTTCAAATTAGGTATGCTCAGCCAGTAAGTAAATGCAAATATTCCAAAATCTGAAATCCAAAACACTTCTGGTCTCAAGCATTTCAGAAAGGGATACTTAACTTGTAATACAGAAATTATCCAGTTAGTTTTTCTAACTCCAATCCAGCCTCCCTCCACTCTGCTACCAGAGTATTCTAACACAATCAGAGTGAGAGTCCCCTGCTGAAAGCACCTCAGTGTTCCTTTAGCCTGCAGGATGCTCAGAATCCAGCCTGACCCTCCCTGATCGGGCCTGTGCTGCGTGTATGTCCAGTATCATGTCCACTCCTCATTTCCTGTCCAGCATCACTGACTTGCTTTACCTTAAGACGCACACATGCACACGCGCTCTACACCATTTTCTACATTTCTCTGCCTCTGTGTATTCTGACCCCTCAGCCAGGAATGCCTTCCTTGTAGGTGGTACTTATTTTAGGTGACATTGCCTTAAGGTGGACTTATTTTAGGTGATAACACCTCCAAGAGACCGTGAACAACTCGCCTGCCATCCCCACTTCACATGCCCTTCCTCTGGCTTCTGTAGGTGCTGA